AAAAAAAAAAAAAAAAAAAGGCGGGTGTGTCAAGGAGGACCTCCTGCTCCCCGGCTTAGGTGACTATGTAGTGTCACTCATCAGTGCGTAGTCAGTCCCCATGGGAAAGCCAAGCAGAGACATCCCACAGACACTTGGAGATGACACTGTCCTTCTGTCACCCGCACTGAGGCAGCCTAATTATCCCCTTACATTGCCTCTGTCCGGGCCCAGACATTTGGGTTGCACACAGGAGTGGAGTGTTGGGTACCTGCTTTTTTCTCCTTCAATATTATAACTACTCAAGGCCACAATGCTCCCTTCAATTATTTTAGAGAAGTTGTAGTAGAAAGGAATAATAACATCGGTGTCCAGTTTGAAGACTCACTCATACATACTACTTGCTTCAAGTTGATACACAAACGGTAGCCTTGCAAGTGAGCTACATTTATACCAGCGTCAGTGCTATGTTAATTCAGATCTAACAACCCTGTTATTGCCCCGCCCAAGTGAGAGAACTACAAGGGCAAAGGTCACAATCTGGAATTTAAACCCAAGCAATCTGAGTCCAGAATCCAGGCATGGACCCCACTCCTTTCCACCCGTCACCCCTCACCCCTCACCCCTGGTTTGCTCGGCCGGGAAGCTCAGGATGTCTCATGCATGGTTCAGACATCTGGATGCAGAGACCCATCCCAGTTCTGGGTGCTCCCTGTGTGTGCCGCCCCCTGGTGGCCGTTCGTAGCTCTGACCGGCCAGGCACCTGAGCCGGAAGCCCCGGCCCGCCCAGGCGGAAGGCTCTCAGCCATTCCAAGGAGGAGTCTAGAACCTGAGTCTTCCGGCCCGACGCGGGGCGGGGCGGGGCCCGACGCGGGGCGGGGCGGGGCCCGACGCGGGGCGGGGCCCGACGCGGGGCGCTCAGGCGCTGCTGTAGCCACCTCTCCCGGGGTCCTCGCGGCGGCGGCGGCGGCCTGAGGAACATGGCTGCGCGCTGGTGGCGAGTCTTGCTGTGCGAAAGTCGGGGATGGCGGGGCTTCGGCACCTCGGGTGAGGGATCCGGGGCCCCGGGGAGCTCTTGGTCCCGTTTGAGGCAGGCCGCGCCCCCTGAGGCCCGGGCTGGCGCCGGCGTAACGCCCCTCTCTGCCCGCAGCCGCCTTGGGCCGCCGGACCCCCCCGCTGGGGCCGATGCCCAACCAGGACATCGATGTGAGCAGCTTGGAGCGGCTGGAGAAGTACCGGAGCTTCGACCGCTACCGGCGCCGAGCGGAGGAGGAGGCGCGGGCCCCGCATTGGTGGCGGACCTACCGGGAACATTTTGGGGAGAAGACAGGTGCGGGGCGACGGGAGCCGGAGCTATGGGCCCCGGCCCCGGATCTCGGGCCGGGGGACCGAGCGGCACGTTTCCCTCACCCAGCGAGCCTGGTCGGCGCCCATTCGTGCGCCCGGGGCCGGGGAGGAACTTGCACTCGTTTTGCTCCTTGGAAAATCATCTCTCCGCTGTCAGAGTTCCAGCTTCTGAAATATGTATTCCTAAGCCTCTTTCCTGACAGCTTCCCTGCTCCTCATTGGACGCCCCTCTGTGTTCCTAAAATACTGTGCACCCATCCCTGGCCATGCCGTGTTGTGTCCTGGCTGACTTTTCTCGCCTTTGCTCAGATCGTAAGCACCCAACAGTTGGGGACCCTGTCTTGTCACCTTTGGGTCCTTGCACTCTCAGTACCTGGCACCATGTGTCCACTACCTTACTAAGTGAAATTAAAGCCCTGAGCAAGGTGACCCAAGGACGCAGTCTTCAAGGAATTTACCGAGTACATCCATTTTTGCGTAGGGTGTGGTGGCCCTGGCCTGTAACCCCAAGAGGATCACCCCGCATCCGAAGCCAGCCTGGGCTATATAATGAGTTCAAGGCCAGCCTGTGTTACATAGTGAGACCCTGTCTCAAAAAACAAAAAAAATATAAGTACATCCATTTTGAAAACTTTTATACATACTTTTTATGAGTTAAGGGCATAAGCCCGTAATCTAAATAGCCTGATTTAAACCTCAAGCCTACCCTCTCAATGGTAAACATCCCTGAGCTTCAATTTCTCAGTCCTAAAATGAAATAATTGTGTCTCTCACCAGATTGCTGTGAGCATTAAAGGGCACAGCCTATCGATTGGGGTAGGGGCTGGGACTGGGGATTGAACCCAGGTCCTTCCCACTGAGCTACACCCCCCCACACGCACACACTCACACTTTTTCCTTGAGACAGAGTCTAAATGATGGCAAACCTATGGCATGCATGTTGTCTTTTAAGACAAAAGATGTTAATGTGTGAGTTGCTTTTTCTAAACTAAAACCTCAGGATTCAGGTTTAATTGCAGTGTTGGCACTTTGCCATAAATGAGTGAGTTTGGGTTTGCAGTTTGGGCACATGTCTCTAAAAGGTTCACCATTATATAAATCATGTTGCTCAGGCTAGGTATTTCTATCTTCTGCCTCCAAAAGTGCTGGGATTACAGTTATGCCCAGGGGAGCTACTGAAATTCTTAGACTAATCCTTGATGTGTGTGTCTGGGGTAAAATGACAAAGGTATTGCACTGAAAGTTGTCCAGTGCCTGGCTATTCAAAGGTGTGTTCTGAGAAACAGCATTACCTAGGCACTTGTAATTTTTGATCTGACCTATACGGTTTATCTGGGCCTCCTCCCCTTTTTTTTTTTTTATTTTTTCCTTTTTGAGACAGGGTCTCGCTATGCAGTTCAACCTGGCCTTGAGCTCACTTTGTAGCCCAGGCTGGCCTTGAATTTGCAACATTCCTCCTGCCTCAGCCTCCCGAGTGCTGGGATCACAGGCATGCACCACCACGCCTGGCTGTCTCCCACATTAAACTTCTTTAAATCGTAGTTTCAGCTGTTCATTCCACAGAACACAGGTGTGTGTCCATAGCCAGCTGGGATCCCAATTGTAATTAGAATGACTATCTTTCTTGATGTCCCATGATTTAGACAAGGCAGTGTGACCTGGTTTAGGGAACCCAAACACAACCTTACCTTATGTCTGACTTGCTAACGGCAGGGCCCTCTTCAGATGTGGGGAGTCGACTGTAGAGTCCCTTAGTTTTGTAATTAAAGGTAAGTCTCCAGCAGCAGACCAAGAGGTCTGGGTAGGGTCAAGAGTTTAACCAAGAGAACTAATCCTGCTTCCTCCAACACATCTTCCCCAGATCCTAAAGACAAAATTGACATTGGGCTGCCTCCACCCAAGATCTGCCGGGCACAAAGACTACTGGAGCGGAAACGGATCCGCCAGGAGCTTCGAGCCAGTGTGGAAGAGGAGCGGGCAGCCCGCCTCCGCACAGGTAGGCCTCTGAGGAGGGGTGCCATCAGTCCCGGTCCCCTCCCTGCTTCCAACCCTTTATTTCTTCCCAGCCAGCATTCCCCTCGAGGCTGTGCGTGCAGAGTGGGAAAGGACCTGCGGCCCCTACCATAAGCAGCGGCTGGCTGAGTATTGCGGCCTCTACCGAGACCTGTTCCATGGTGCCACTTTCGTGCCCTGGGTCCCCCTGCGCGTGGCCTATCCTGTGGGTGAGGAGGACCTGATGCCTGTGTACTACGGCAATGAAGTGACTCCAACTGAGGTAGGTGCCACTCACTGTGTCCTTTTCCCTGCCCCGTGTGTCGCCATTGCAGTGTCACAGACAGCTCCTAGGTTTGGGGTTTCCTGGAAAATAAAACATGAGCGTTACAAGGACAACAATATAAAACACAGGAAAAAGAAGCTGCATCTTTGCGTATTCCTGGGACTTGCCACTGTCTTTGAAGTGCCCTCCAGGCTCTGTCCCTTGGCACATGGTCTTTTTTATGGTTTAGATTTTGGAACAGGCAGCTCTGCAGATCCCTCCCGTCAGCATCTCTTGGCCCGTGTACCTCTGTGAGGGGCTGTTAGGGGCCCTGGTTTGGATCACCGCCTAAGGCTCCAGCTCTCACGAAACACATTGTTTGCAATGGTTTGTCTGTCCCTGGTCGGGGTGGCAGCTCTCCTGTTCCATTTCTGCCAGGCTGCCCAGGCTCCAGAGGTGACCTATGAGGCAGATGAAGGCACCATGTGGACACTGCTGCTCACCAACCTGGGTAGGTGTCTGAGGCTCCCTGGGCCTCCTGCCTCCTCCTCCTCCCCTGAGCCAAGAAGCTGGGGTGGGCGGGATGAAGCACTGCAGCTCCTCCTCCTTCCATGGAAGGTCTGCCGGGCCTGTGGTCAGGGTGTGTTTCCGTGCAGATGGACACCTGCTGGAGCCAGATGCCGAGTACCTCCACTGGCTGGTGTGAGTATCTGGTGGGGGAGAGTGGGGCATGTGCAGAAAGAGACCCAGGAGCCTCCCAAGGGGCTGCCCCTAAATTTCAGTCTTGGCTCCACTGTACACTGCCCAGGGGATTGTTTTGTTTTGGTTTGAGACAGGGTCTCACTTTGTAGTACAGGCTGGCATTGAACTCATTTCTGTAGCTCAGACTGGCCTCAAATTCATGATGATCCTCCTGCCTCAGCCTCCAAGTATTGGGACTATAGGCATATACCACCATACCTGGCTTAGACCATGGGATTTTCAACTAACCTCTCACCCCAGGCAGTGACCCCTCACCTGTGCCTGGTGGCGGGGCCCTGTGATCCTCTGTACACTTTGCAGGTACAGAAGATAATGACAGCAGGCCTCAGCTAGTCATACGTGGAACACTGGGATGAGCCACCGCATGTCTTACTACCCTGAGGGGTGATGGGGAAAAGGACTGGGAGAGGTCTCCAACAGCTGTGCGGTCCCCAAACAGTTGGTGAACCACGGGCCATTCCTGTCCAGGGAGTCCAGGATGGGCTGCCCTTTGTTCTCAGTGGCTTTTGGCTCTGAGCACCAGGCCAGCGGCATAGGTCAGGCAGGTGCCCCCAGCTTCAGGACTTCGAGGTAACTGAAGCCAGGAGCTGGGAGACTGGCTTCTGTCACTGTCACTGTCACTGTCACTGAACAGCAGTTATCCACCTACCTGTGCAGCTTGAGTGGCCACCCCGGTGCCAGGCTGGGCAGACTCCCCCTGATAAGACCCCCTAGTCCCAGGAAAACAAAAGTAAGCAGCGGTGGCCTGGCTTGCCAGCCTGAGTGGTTGGGCAGACCCGGCTCGTGGGGCCTCAGGGAAGGATGTTACCCTCACAGGCCAGGGACATACGCTTAGTACCTCTCTCCAGTGGCAATTAACAGATTCCTGCCTCCTGCCAGCACCAACATCCCAGATACCAGGGTGGCTGAAGGACAAGAGACGTGTCCCTACCTGCCCCCCTTCCCCGCCCAAGGCTCCGGCTTCCACCGCTTTGCCTTCCTGCTCTTCAAGCAGGACAAGCCCATCGACTTCTCCGAGGATACTCGCCCCTCACCCTGGTAATCATTAGGCCCGTTCCCTGGCCCCGTCCTCTCTCTTGACCTAGGTCTTGAGACAGGCAGAAGAGTGGGACTTGCAAGATCTCTGGTCGGGTGGGGGTGGGACGGCAGGGCTCTGTCACCCGCTCTGAATTCTGAGCTGTCCCCATCTTCTCACAGCTACCAGCTGGCTCAGAGGACCTTCCGGACATTTGATTTCTACAAAAAACACCAGGAGGCCATGACCCCCGCTGGCCTGGCCTTCTTCCAGTGCCGCTGGGATGACTCTGTCACCCACACCTTTCACCACCTCCTGGGTAAGGGCAGGCGGGGCCGGGAAGTGGGACAGACAGTGCCCAGCTGGGCGCCCTGCCTCAGGCAAGGAGTCCACCCGTGGGCCTCCGCTTCTCTTGCAGACATGCGGGAGCCCGTGTTTGAGTTTGTTCGGCCACCCGCTTACCACCCGAAGCAGAAGCGCTTCCCGCACCGGCAGCCCCTGCGCTATCTGGACCGGTACAGGGACAGCCACGAGCCCACCTATGGCATCTACTGAGGGACCACAGTGTACCCACCCCAGAGGGTGGGCTGGGCCGGCAGGGCTGGCAGGTGCAGCTCCAGAGGACCAAGCTGTGGGGTCTGTGCCCACCTGAGGCAGCCCCTCTGTGAGCCCCTCCTGTCAAGCCCAGGACTTGGAGTAAAGGACACTGTGGGGTGGTGGGACAGAGGGGTGTGAATAAAGATGATTTCTGCCATCCGTGGCCTGAGTCTTTGTTCCAGGAACAGTAGAAAATCTCCAGTGAGCTGTACTGCATCAGGAGGGCGCCGCCTCCCAGCCCTCTGCCAGCCTGAGTTGGTCAGGGGCCCTGTGACCCAGTGGCTGAAGACAAGGACACCAGAGAAAGCAGGCAGTGAACGCCAGCTGGTCTCCTAAGCTCTTTCAAAGAGGTCTGCCTAGAGCTGTAGCTGTGTGGTAGAGCACTTGCATGGCGTGCACCAGGCCCTGCGTTTGATGCTCAACAACTAAGAATAAAAAACAAAAGACACATCTGTGTGGTGGCAGACTCCTGTGCCCACCCGCATGCTTCGGGTGAGAAGCCCTGACTGGTCACAGAGACCTCTAAACAATCACCACTCAGCCAGGATGCCCCGACCCTCACCGGGTAGTTAGTGTTTCTCCCCTCCCACGAGGAGAAGGCCACCTCGTAGCGGGTCACAGGGAGAGCTATCATGCTTTCCAGAATTCACATGTCACTTCACAGACCACAGTGCTTGCTGCTTTGCAGGCTGGAGCTTCCCTTGCTGGATTGCCTGGCCAGACGCTGCCTGGAGGCCAGGCAAAGCTCAGGGCCCTTTTGACTCTGCTCAATGAAAGGGTATGTCTGAGTTACTCCAAGGCTTAGAGCTGCAGGCCAGGGACTCATCTCAGGAGGAGTCACATAAGAAGGGAAGCAAAATATTTTGGTGTCTGTTAAAGAGGCCTATTGGTGAGAGGTGGCTTGTGCCTCTAAATCTCAGCTAAGGAATCTGAGGTAAAAGGGTCAAGCTCAAGGTCAGCCTGGGCAGTACAGCAGGAGACCCTGTCTCAAAAAAGGGATGCCAGGCGTGGTGGTGCACGCCTGTAATCCCAGCAGGCCAGGTGAGGTTCCCAAACCCCTGGTGCTTTGTTTTTGCTTTGTGGTTGACAGAATCTCACTATGTAGCCCTGGCTGGCCTTGAACTCGAGATCCTCCTTGCCTCAGCCTCCCAAATTTTGGGATTATAGGCATACACCACCATACCCAATTTGCAAAACTCTGGTATCTAAAGACTGAGCCCGGTGTGGTGGCGCATGCCTGTAATCTCAGCACTGGGAGGCTGAGGCAGGAGGATCATTGCGAGTTTGAGACCAGTCTGGGCTACAAAGTGAGTGTAAGGCCATCCTAAACTGCTTGGGTCGCCGGAGGCTGCGGGCACCAACAACGTGCCTCTGGGCGGGGCCCTCGCTCCTCCCACGGCAGCCCCGCCCTCGCGCCACCAGCCGCCGGCCTCTCCGCCTCCGCCATGGACGCGAAGCTGCTGGAGGACAAGCTGACCTGCTCCATCTGCCTAGGCGTCTACCAGGACCCGGTGACGCTGCCTTGCGGCCACAACTTCTGCGCGGCCTGCATCCGGAACTCGTGGCGCCGCTGCGAGAAGGCCTGCCCCGAGTGCCGCGAGCCCTTCCCCGACGGCGCCGAGCTGCGCCGCAACGTGGCGCTCAGCGGGGTGCTGGAGGTGCTGCGCCTCGCCCCGCCGGAGCCCGGCCCCGAGCCCC